CAATAAATCCATGAATCATTCTTGAAATTTTCCTTTTGAATAAAAGGTTTGGTGTATAGCCAAATCTTACAGTTGCAAGCTCCAAAGTAAAACACCGATTTCCTCCTTTTCCTGTATCACTCCTCATGACAGATTAAACCTCCCATTGGTGTTAGACAGCAGCCAGAAGGCGCTTTTAAAACTCTCAAGCAGAGCCCATTCTCTTGAATTTAAGATGCTTAACATGATCCAGAGGTCCAGGGTTTGGATGCTGCCTCTGTCATGCTTCGTTTTATACCACCTGCTACCTCACTCTTACAGTTGCTCTTTTCAGTGCCTCAAATTCATTGAACTATTTCCTGCCTCAGGTCCCCATATGAGGGGGCTTCAGAAAACTTATATGAAAATTCCATTCTCTTTTCACTCCATTTTGAATCTTATTTTCACTCCATTTTGTACTTATTCTTTCCTCTACTTAAAATTTTCTTTCTGCCTATTCTTTACCTGGCTAAATCATCTATCCAGCAGATCATAATTTAAATAGCACTGTGTGAAAGAGGTGATCTCTGGGTTTCCTATTTAAATTGGGCCCTTTTATACATTTCCATCACACTTATTGTTTTCTTTCATTTAATTTACCAACGTTTTCATTTACTTTTGTATAGATGATCATTTTTAATTGCTTTTCAGGCAGTTCCCAACTCATGGTCAAAACACTGCCAGGTCCTGAAACTGCATGATCGATTGTGGATTAGATCACTGTCTTCGGCTGTTTCTTCCTAGTCCGTCTTAGTCTGCAAGCTCCACTGAAGCCTGTTGAGTGTCTCAATAACACGCAGGCCTCTGTGGACAGTCGATGGGAGTTGCACGTGAGTTGAATTGGCAGGGCGCTCAACCGGAGTCTTCTGCACCGAAGGCAAGACTTCTATCGCTGAAATACATCTATATCTTTTGGTATCTCTTACCAAATTATAAGCAGTATGCCACCATTGCTCTCTAGACATGGTTAGGTTAAGGCTGGAAGACAAGAACAAAGTCTCTTTTGTCCATCACTGAACCCTCAGCATCCAGAACAGTACTTGGCACAATACATACATTTTTAAAAAGCCATGGCATGACCTTGTAAGGTGGATAACTCTCTATGACATATGAGGACATTAAGATCAAGGACTCACTCATGGCCACAGAGTCAGTTCTGATTAAGGACAGGGTACAACTGCCCCTGTGGGTGTTTGAAACCGCAACTTGGAGTAGAAAGTCTCATCTTTCTCCAGCTGGTGGTTTTGAACCACTAACAAGGTGGTTAGCAGCAGCACAATGCATAACCACTATGCCACTAGGGCTCTGGCAGTGGGAGCCCAAAAAGACATGTTTTAAAAGGAACAGTTTTCCGATGTCTGAACAGAAGTTGACAGAATTTTCCCCCTAGCATGTTCTGTGACTGGGAAGACTATTTGCTTAGAGTACAGGTAGACCAGTATTGGGCTTTGTCCAGGTGTTTCCCTGGGGGCCGAATGCATTCACACATGTCTTCGCCGACTTGTGGCCTAAGTGGTAAAAATGTCTAGGATTTCTCCCTTAAGAATATTCTCTAATATTTTCTTTATGCTTTCTTTTTACTGAACTATAATTCTTGATTTTTTAAAAATATTCGTTCAAGGTCCCTGCCCCACTGTCCCCAGCCCTGGCCTCCCAGACAGGTAGACATCCTTGTCAGAGGGATGAGGACTGCTGATAGGAAAGCAAGTCAGGAGAGGGGAAGAGAGCAGACATCATCTGCGAGTACACAAGTGTGTGTGTGTTGGTAGAAAAGAGGGACGCCTACCCCCAAGTGGGGGGAAATGACTAAAAATACTTTTAAGGACCCTTAAAGTGGGGGCAATGTCCCTGGTAATAGTCACTGAATAAGCCACATTAGCCTGAGTTTCTGGACACATTCTGGGGACCCAGGTCAAGTGCCATAGAACACTGGGGCATTGAATCCTGGATCTGTGGGGGACACAACACACTGCAAAGGCCGCACCAGAGAGATCTACTGCTGAAAATCCACTAGGCAAACTGGACTCTACCGCAAACACACCTGTAACCTAAAGACTTAAGAGTGAAAATTCATGGTGCTTGAAGGAGCAGAAGTCAACTATTCCACGAGTATTGAACTGTCAGGAGGCAGACAACTTGACTTAAGACATCAATGCCCCATATGCTGGAATAAGATATATATTATTTGGGCAAAACTATGACTGACATTCTCAGTAGTCACTGAGAATTGCTGTAAGCTTTCACTGACAACCAACTCCCATTGTGTAAATCACATCCATCCACAAAAGGATTGATTCTATATAAGGTGAATACTTCAGGTATTGCTATATGTAGTTAGCATACTTTGTCCCAATATCACTCTTTCAACCATATTTTAAAATTAGTATGAGGGGCTCATCAATGACAATATTAACAGAAGATCTTTATGCTCCAGGGAGATGGTCCACAAGACTCTTTACCATAAATTATCAAGGAGATCTCTAAAGGGAGCCAAAGGCAGATTGAGAGAGAGCGAGAGGAGCGAGAGAGAGAGAGAGAGAGAGAGAGAGAGAGAGAGATTGATTCAGGAATGGGTTTGGGACCCGCACTGAATCTCAGCCCCAATTTAAGAACAATTAGTTCTTACATCATGGTCCTGCTTGATACTTGCCCTCAGGAAGGGAAAACAGAATATATGGGTGCTATAGCAAATGCCTGGCTATCAGATAAAATAGCATCTGTGGTCTTAAAGGCTTGTTTCCAAACAAGCAGCCATCTAGCTGAGATATCAACCAACTCCACATGGAAGAAGCACTCCAACATCAGTGAACAAAGGACTGTATATAATCCAAATCTGAAGGAAGAAATAGCATCAGAGCCCAAATTATGAGATTCTGGATTGCAGAAGGCTACGATGACAGTAGGAGCCCAAGATACATTTGTGAGATCTATACAGGTACTAAGACTCGAGTGATTTCCCTCTATACATTACGAAGGGAGGGGAATAAACTGAGTACCAAACAGAGTACATTGGAGATATGACTATAGGAGATCAAAATTATAAACATGACTTGAACAGTTAAAACCTTGTCAGTTAATCTCCACCACCACCACCCCCACACACACATGCACATTGGATGAGAACTGGGTTTCAACATTTTCTCTCTTTTTTCTTTTTTCGTCATATCAGGGTTTAGCTCTTATGCATTTGCCATTGGATGTAGCCCTCTAAAATCTTTGTTGTGCTTTTCTGTTTTTCAGTACAGAAAACCCAGGACTAATGAACTTATAAAGACAGAAAGTAGAATAAGGGTTCTTGGGGGTGGGGTACAGTGGGGTGGGGTGTAAAGGAAAGATGATGTCCAAGAGTTCAAGAAGAAAGTGAATATTTTGAAACTGATTGTGGGAGAAATTGATGTGATTAAACTATGGAATGAGATGATATCTCTATTAGCTCCCAATAAAAAGTTTTTTTGGGAAAAATTGTCTAATCAGTGTAAGGCACAGTGAAGTAACCGACAAAGGAGAACGTGGATTTTTGCTGTTATTGTTGAGTCAGTAAAGTGATTTCAAAAATCATTCTAATGATTTAAAATTGAACTATTTTGGATATTTTATCACAAAAACAAACAAACAAAAAAAAAACCATGAACACTGATTTCAACTGTATAGTACAGAGTAGGACGACTCTATAGGACAACTGCACCATAGCATTTCTGAGACTGTAGATTTTAAAGGGAGCAGACAAGCTCATTGTTATCCTGTGGGGCAGGTGGTAGTTTCAGGCACATCTGAACAGCTGGTCATGTCAGATAACAACTCAGTGCTTAACTCACTGAGCAACCAGCTCAGTTCACTGACTCATAGGGACCCTACAGTACAGGGTAGAACAGACCCTGCCGGTTTGCAAAACTCTGGTTGTCGGTGTAGAAAGCCTTTTTCACAAGGAGCAGCTGATGGTTTCAAACTGCAAACCCCGTGGTTTGCAGCCCAATGTGCAACTCACTATGCCACGAGGGCTCCTGAGGTGCAACCTGGGCTCCTTTATTGTTTCCATAGTAACCGGTACCCTAACTTTTAGCAGACCCATTTTCATGTTTTTATTCTTTATGGAAATGACTCCTTGTGTACTTTTGTGTGTGGCTTCCTGTGCTGAAATTGACGTTTGTGTAGTCCAGCCATCCATTTTGTTTCCTGCAACAAACATATAGCTGTGCAGTATTCCATTATGTGAACACGGTGTGCACTAGTTTATTGGTGCTGGTACAACATTCCCATACCTGTGTGTTGGTGCACCTAAGTATGCGGTTAGGAGTTCGGCAGTAGTGTGCTTGTATGAACTGCTGGCTCATAGGGGCGGCGGCATTGGTAGAGAATGCCAAACTGCTTCTGCAGGGAGTTGTACCAGTTACCTTCCAGCAGCCGGGTAGGAGAATTCAGTGATTGCGCATCCTCGCTGAGACACCTTTTATATGTCTATTTTGAAATAGAAAGATGATTGAAACAAGGTTCAGATTGCTTCTGGGAGACCTTTTAAACTTTCGATGGGTTCTCTGAGTTAACAATCTCAGTCTTTTACTTTGTCAGTTACACCCTGCGGGCTGATGAATGCGTTTTCGACTTGGCTGGACATTTTTGCTCGCCCTGCCTCTGGGATGCCGCGCTGAGAAGAAATTGTGTGTATACACGGCGGAACAAGTCCTTTGAGGATTCGAAATCACTGTGGAGACGAAACGCAGGCGAGCTTTCCGCGGCCGACTTTTCCATTCTAGGATCCATGACCTTGGAGCGCCCGCCGGCCTCCAGGATCCGGGCTGTGCACCGGGTTTCCCGGAGGCACTGGGGAAGCCGAGCAGCCGCCCTCCGTCTCCAGCCAGACCGGGGCGGAGCGAGGGGGGAGGGGGCGGAGCGGGGGGCGGGGCACTCGCTGGAGCGGAGCCTGCGCAGAAAGGCCGGCGGGCACGCACACTGAGGCCAGCGCATGCTCCGCAGCGCGGCGGGTCCACAGATGCGGGGAGTCGAGTCTCCCGCGTCCTGCCACCCCCGGCGGAGCTGCCGCTGAATCGCCCGTTCTCAGCCTTAAGCACCTATAAAGTTCACTTCAATTTTAAAAACAATCATTCTTCAAAGAGCAAGAGAAGGCGTGAGCCAGCTAGGCGGCTCCGCCGGGGGAGCTGGCGCTCTGGGAGGCGGCGGCGGCGGCGGCGGTTGCGCCGCGACCGGGAGGAGTGGGTCGCTCCGGGCGGCGGGTCCGCGGCGGTCTCGGAACGGTGAGTGGCGGCCGGCGCTCCCGGGCAGCGGTGCTGCATCCACTTGCCCTCCTCCGGGGCCCGATGGCTCTTCCGGCGTTTGGGGGCACGACCTGCCTCTCCCCGGGGTCCTGGAATGTGTCCTTACTGTGAGGCGTCGGGTGTGTGTGTTTGGGGGGGCAGCTCCCATCCCCCCAGCCCAGGCCGCAGAGTGTTCCCGCGCCTCGCCCCGTACTGCCCAAGTTCCGCTGGGAGGTGGGCGGCCGCGCCGAGCTCAGCGCTTGCTCTCGGGTCCCCTCGGTCGGGTCTCCCTGGCGTCCGTCCTTAGAATTGCCTCATGGGTGGGGAATGGGGTGAAGGGAGGTGCCGCCGCCCCGAGCCCGGCGGCGGGCCTGGCGTCTCGAGTTCACCCACCCACCCCCACCCCCACCCCCAGATGGGGACGAGGCGACCCAGCCCGGGCAGATCCTCCTGGGTGGCAGTGATTCCCGGATGCACGCATTCGGGCCGTTGGGGAAGAGGATCCCTGGCGTTAGACTCCTGGTTTTCCTGCTGGGTCTGCGGCCCAACCCGGGGCTCCACCCTTGCCTACTTCTTGTCCGGCACTGCTAGAATATGAATGAGCCAGACTGCACTTTTCTTTCATTGACACTGGCTGCCACGGAGTTTCTTTGCTCCGTGATCAAGCAGCTCCCAGGAGTCAGAATGTGTCTGTGAATGTGAGAGAGCACTAACTTCTCCATCAGGATCTAGGGAAGTGGCAGGAGGGCCATTCACTTTCTTTCTGGGTTTACATCACACCTCACATCTGCTCTGCCTCACATCGTTAAACCTAAAACAATTTCGAGTATTTTTATTAACTTATTTTCTAGGAACATAGTGAGATGGTGCTTTTAGTCTATTAGAGCAGTGGCTAAGACTTAAGCCTGCCTGTGTTAAAACCTGATTCTACTTTTAAATTTTTTGTATTTTTAAAAATATATGGGAAAAGGGAATTTTGGGAGTATGCAGTGCTTTGAATTTTAAATTAGTGTAACTTACCGCTGTGATCAGTAATAGAGCAGTTTGATCTCTTCAAAAAAAATTCCTTCACAGTATCCCTGTATGAGTCATAGCTTCTGTTACTCCTAACTCCTGGTAAATAAACAAACAGAAAAACAAGCCCATTAAAATCCAGCCAATTTCAACTCAGAGCAACCCTGTATAAGGAGCAGTCTCGTCTTTCTCCCTTGAAGCGCTGATGGGTTTGAACCCCCAAACTTGTGACTAGTAATCCTCTGTGCTTTATCCCACAACACCACCAGGGCTCATTAACTCCTGGTGTTAGTTGTTAAGTGCAGTTGAGTTGCTTCCTACGCAAAGCTACCCAGACTACAACAATATGAAACACTGCCCTGAGACCAGGTAGCAGGCATCAAAGAACAAAAAATTAAATCATTGTGAATGAGGGGGAGTGCAGATTGGGGATCGAAGACCCATCTGTAGGCAACCCTTACAGAAGGGTCGTGGGGAGGAGATGAGCCAGTCCAGGTGCAGGGTAGCAATGATGAAACATACAACTTTTCCTCTAGTTCCTAAATGCTTCCCCCCACCCAACCCCCACTATCATGATCCCAGTTCTACCATACAAAACAGGCTAGACCAGAGGATGTACACTGGTACAGATAGGAACTGGAAACACAGGGAATCCAGGGCTGATGATCCCTTCAGGACCAGTGGTGAGAGTGGCGATACCGGGAACGTGGAGGAAGGGTGAGGTAGAAAGGGGGAACCGATTACAAGAATCTACATATAACCTCCTCCCTGGGGGATGGACAACAGAAAAGTGGGTGAAGGGAGACGTTGGAGGGTGTGAGATATGACAAAATAATAATTTATAAATTATCAAGGATTAATGAGGGAAGGAGTGTGGGGGAGGGAGAGGAAAAATGAGCTGATACCAAGGGCTCAAGTAGAAAGCAAATGTTTTGAGAATCATGATGGCAACAAATGTACAAATATGCTTGACACAATGGATATATGTATTGTGATAAGAATTGTGCAAGCCCCCCCCAAAAAGAATGGTGTAAGCCCCCCCCCAAAAAAAAGAATGGTGCAAGCTCCTAATAAAATGATTTTTTTTTAAATGCTGCCCTGCACTTTCCTCAAAATTATAACTTTTGTAGTTACAGATGTTTTTGAGAATGTCATGTAAGGAGAATCATACAGTATTTAACTGAGACTGGCTTCTTTCATTGAGTGGAGGAGCCTTGGTGGGTTAGTGATTACTCATTGGGGTGCATGGTCAGCAGTTCAAAGCCACCAGCAGTTCTATGGGAGAAAGACTGAACTTCCTTCTCCAGTAACAGGTATGGTTTCGGAAACCCACAGGGGGTCTGTATGAATCAGCATTCACCTTTGGGATTGGGCTTTTGGTTTACTTTCATCGGGTACAACATCTCTAGAGATTCCTCTAAGTTGTAGCAGTAATTCTTTCATTTTTAGGTATCACATTGGATATATGTACTATAGTTTGTTCATACCAGTTGAAGGATATTGGGGTTGGTGTTAAAGAACCTTAGTGTCTATTAACAGGCACATGTACATTTTTATGTGAACACAATTTTTCTAGATTCTTAGGATTAATAAGGATTAATAATAATAATTAATTATTATTAATAATAATAAAATTAAAAAATAAACTGCCAAGTTTATTTTCCAAGGAGGCTGTGTTATTTTGCACCCCCACCAGCAGTATGCAAGAGTACTGGTTGCTCTGCATGCTCACTAGCACATGACATTGCCAGTGTTTTATTTATTTATTTTTAATTTAGCTGTTCTGGTAGGTGTTTGAGCCGCCCTGGTGCTGACGCTGCACCCGCGACTTTAAGATCAATTGGTACTTTGTACCCACCAATCTCTGCTGGAAAAATACCTGGTGATTTTCCTGAAAGGAGTACAGGATAGAGGGTCGATGCTATTATATATTGAATATACTTGAGTATAAGCCGATATTTTCAGCACATTTTTAATGCAATTTTTGTGGTAAAATCAGGTGCCTCGGCTGATTTTGGCTTGGCTTATACTCGAGTATATACGGTAAAGTGTCTGAGTTTTAAATCAATTCAGTAGCACACAACAATAGCTGTATAGTGCTTTTTTTCTTGGTGGTTTTATTGTGTTTAGTTAGACATCCTATGTAACAGAGTAGAACTACTCCATAGATCCCCTCTCACCCTAAACCTCAATGCCATTGAATCAGTTCTTTCTGAGATTGTTTATGGGAGTAGAAAGCCCAGTCTTTCACCCTCAGAGCTGCACAAGGTTTTGAACTGCCGACCATGCAAATCACAGCCCAATGGATAACCATTACCCCACCAGGGCTCCTTAGAGGGTCCCTAGGCTGCTTTTTTTTTTTTAATGGCTAATGTTGTTGAATGTGCTTATTGCCATACATATGAACTCTTGGGTGGCCTACCTGGTCTAATCTTTGGCTCATTTATTAATCGGGTTCATTTGTTTTCTTATGTTGAATTTTGAACGTTTTTTACATATTCTGGATATAAGCCTTTGGCATATGAGCATTTTGTAATTATTTTCTCCTAGTTTGTAGCTTGTCATTTCGTTCTTAAAACTGTGCCTTTCTTTCACAGAACAGATGCATGAATTTTGGTGAAGTCCAGTATATCAGTTTTCCCTCTTGTGGATGCTGTTTTTCATGTCACGTGTCAGAGGTCGTTGCCTGGTCTCAGGTCAAGATTTTATTATTCTAAACATTCTTTTCTAGTACTCTTTACATTTAGATCTGTAATCCATTTTTAAAAAGGTACGCGGTTTACATGGAGGTAAACGCTTTCACATGGGCATCCAGTTGTCCACTCCGTTTGTTGATAAGTCTGTGTGTTCTCCGTGGAGCTGCTTTTTGTACCTTTGTGAAAAACCAGTTTCTCTAATGAGTCTGATTTTGGACGCGTGATCTATTGAATTGATTAATAGAACATTGCTGTGAGTGGGAATCCACTAGAAGGCAACTAACAGTGGTAACAGAATTAAAGTAGTGTGATTTCCTTCTGTTATGTTCCTTGACGAGGTTGTTTTAACTCTTCTAGTTCTACCTTTCTATGTATCGCTTAGAATCAGCTTAACCTCTTGACTACAAAAAACCCTGCTGGTGTTTTGGAATGGCAGTGAACATATAAATCAATCTGCAAGTAATTCGTATTTTAATATTTAATGGATTAATCTTCCAATCCGTAAACATTTATTTTGATCTTCTTTAATTTCTTTTATGAGACTTTTGCCATTTTCAGCATAAAAATTATGCTGCTTCAAATTGTATGTGTTAGTATACAGAAATATAATTGACTGTTAAAGCGCTTGGCTGCTGACTGAAAGGTTGCCCAGTGTTACCAGTGATGCTGCAGGCTATAGATGTGGCAGTGTACTTACTTCTATGTCAAGATTTACAGCTTGAGAATCCCTATGGGACAGTCTGCTCTGTCCTGTAGGGCCTCTGAGTTACAGTTGACTCCATGGCTACGGGTTTGCGTTTGGGCCTTTTTTTCCCGTAATAATTTGTGCCTTTCAAGGGATTGGTCCGTTTCTTCTGTGTTGTGACATGCATGTATGTATAGAGTTGTTTTATAATTCTTTGATGTCTGCTCAGCTGGTAGATATATCCAATAATTCATTCCTGATATTGGTGATACACGAGGGGGTACCCAAAAAACCCGGAATCTTTTTTCCCTTATGTATTTAAATTTTTTTTACAAAACAACCTTAATACCTTCAAAATACTCTTTATTACACTTACTATGTTTGTCAAATATGCAATTTCATTCTTGGAAACATTTTTCAAACTCATCTGTTTGGATGGCTAATTGCACCTCCCTTGTTTTTTTCTTCACCTCTTCTACATCATCAAATTGCTGTCCTTTCATGGAGCGAGCTCAGGTGAGTGTAAGGTGCATGGGGCAAGAGAGGCATGCTTTTTTTCAAAAACTGGTGCACTGCAATGACTGCATGTCCAGGTGCATTGTCATGGTGGCCTTTTTGTCACACTGCTAAGCAACCTTTTCAGAACATGTAAATAGAAAGTCTGACCTGGTGGAACAAATTCCGAATGTACTATCCCCTCACCTCAGATAAACAAATGAGCATCATTTTGATCTTTGATTTCACTCGAGTTTTTTTGGGTGAGGTGACTGGCATCTTCCACTGGCTTGATTGATGTTTATTTTTGGGGTGGTAAAAATAGCACCAAGTGTCATCACCAGTAATGACCTTGGGAAAAAAGTCTGGGTCGCTATGGGGCAGTTCTTTCAAAGCGTGGCATGTTTCCACTCAATGCTCTTTTTCCTGGTCAGTCAGAACCAGAGGCACAAATTTTGCAGTGACCCGTCCTATTCCCAATCTTCCATTAAAATTCGCTGATAGCCCAGATAATTTCCCCATTTCTTCAATGGTCCATTTTTGGTCTTCGAACACAAGTGCCCAAATTTTGAAGTTGATGGACGTCTAGAACGAAGTTTGTCATCAATTGACATTTCACCTTGTGTGAACTGAGAAAACTACTTGTACACTAGAGTTTTCCCATAGTGCTGTCCTTGTAAGCTGTGTAGCTGTGTTCAACATCACAACAGTTCCTGCAGCATTTTTCCCGAGTAGGAAACAAAATTTCACAGCCCCATGCTGTTCTCTTAAATCAGTCATCCCAAAACAGGAGATTGGAGTAAAACTGCTTTTACAAAAAAATTCCCTGTGATTAGAGAACCTTCCCAGGCAATGCCACTTGGTGCATTAACTCAGAGCAAGTGGATGGTTTTTTTGGGAGGGGAGGGGGTACCCCTCGTATACCTTCACTCTTGCTAGAGGATTGTCAGTTTCATTGATCTTTTGAAAGAACTGTCTTTTTGTTTCATTACTTTCCTCTATTGTGCTTTTTATTTCATGGGTTGCTGCTCCTTGCTGTTCCCCGCCCCCCCTTACTTTAGGTTTATTTTACTCCTGTTAGTTTCTTGAGGGTGGGACCTTTGATTTTATATTGGAGACTTTTTCTTTTTTTCTGAGGTAAGCATTCTGTGCTTTTCTCCCTCAGCACTGCCTTTATCTGTATCCTGTACATTTTGACATGTTGTCTTTTTATTTACA